GAATTCTGCCACCTGCGAGCAGACTGGCGAGAGAGGGCGACCTCGTCGGACTTTTGGCAGCCAGCCGCACCCATGAGAACTGCACGAAGCAAGCTGGCAGCGACACACTTTCGGGGGAAAATCATTGTCGCCGGGGGATATGATGGTAGAAACAGTCTAAACGTGGTGGAAATGTTCACACCACCAGATGCCAGGGGTCCCTGGGGCCAGTGGACAGAGTTGACTGGCATGAAGGAATCCCGCGGGTTTTTCACTCTTCTCACCTCCACCGACGACGCCATCTTTGCTCTCGGTAATGATGCCTCCTCCTACTTTGCTCTACACGGACTGCATTCCTTCTCCACTCTCTCTCTCTCTCTCTTTCATGCCATTCCATGTCCTTTTCTGCGTAATCCCTTTTATGAGGAAGATTAAGACATCCCTAGTGATGGCATTCATGTGAAAATGTGACTTTGCATGGCGTTTCGTAAACACAATGAGATTAGGGTCGATGGAAGGCCGTTTGTAGTGCAAATCGTCTGCTTATTAAAGTAGATTTTTACGAGAATTATGCAGCCGACTGGTTAAAGCGTCTTCAGCAGATGCTGCGTTCAAAGCTTACTCAGTCTTCTCTGAGTTTTATTGAAATAAATTTTTGTCTAGTGGTATTGTGCAAATCGTATGCTAATTTTGTCTGTTTTGATATTTATGAAGATAGAATTTCACTGGAATTTTTCACAATTTGCAGGCTCAGGAAACACGGTGGAGACTTTCATGGCACCAGGCGGATCGGCTCATGTCAGCAACGACTTGACATCTTGGAGCTGGTCGTCGAAGAAACCACTGGAGACGCTCGAAAAGATCGCTGGAGCTGCAAGCATTCGCATGTAAACTTCTGCGTTTCTTGATGTTCATTCTATGATCCGCATTTTAAGAAATAAACGACTTGAAATGTAAGCTGTTTTGTCGTTTTTTTGAAAACGTCGAATGGATGTGCAGTGCCCAACACCCAAGGAAACCAATTAATGGCGTGATTATCTCTGAAAGGAATGAAATGTATGGACCGGTTGTTTTTTACGAGGGAGATGCTCGTTTTCGGGATTAGTGCTTGATTATGGAGAGAAATCATTGTCGCCAGCTGATATTATACTGGAGAAGAATGAGATTTAGTGGTGGAGATGTTCTCACTGCCAGGTGTCCCTAGCGGGTTTAATAAACATGGCCTCCAATTTTTTTGTTAAAAAAAAACACCAAAAGGGTGTAGAGTGTCCTACACTTGGGGTGACAAAATAATCTCTAGCATATCTCTGCGAGGAATGAGAGATGTGGAAGTTGATGCCCATTTGCTGACGAAGTGAGTAACACTAGTAAGATCGCAGATCGGGGAGCTTGTGTGTTAGTATGAATGGCACGCGTACTACTTACTGAGGCGACAGGAACAGTTAGAGCGTAGACGGCGGACCTGGCACTATGAATTAGGACAGATGTCACCAAGTCCTAATAGTGTCCCACTTCAAAAGCAAATTTGCCCACCCCCGCGAAATGCGATAGACTGCTGTGTGAGTTGCTATCGGCCTTCTCTATTAAGGGAAACGTTACACTCCTTAGTATTCGGTCGACGGAAGATGTCGGATGCATGTACGCTGTCTGTCTCCGTAGCATAAATTGATCCTTTTCTTCATCTAAAAAGGATTAAAAGGTTGGACTGTCTCGGGATTTATGCTTAGCGAAGATTTCACCAAGCACGACGAGCTTACATGAGTGATGTCAAGGGTACTTAACATAACGCATGTTCAAATATAACCCAGGTTAGTGATTTGGATGTAACCAGAGATACGATTAACTGAATCGGCACTAACTACGTGGGAAGGCCCTGCTTCATGTTGCGAACCTGCTGGACAGTCAGTTATCAGGGGTGCACCTCGAGTTGATGGCCCCTGGACCGTGAGGTGGCCTGCACGCCTGGCGAGGGAAAATCGATCGCGCTCGATGGATGACGCAGCTGGCAGATTTCGCCAGATGGCCGAGTGCTGAGTGCGAGTAGATGCGCCCCTAGATGACCTTGGCAGCAGGTAGTCAGTGGCGTGATGCGCAATTGTTGCGTGTGTACGTCACTGGACAATGGCAGTGTCCCTAAAACCGCTCACGCAGCAGATGCGCTAGAAAAACAC